TCTTTTGCGGTTTCAACAAAACCAATTGCAGATAAAATGTCAACATTATCTCTTTGTAATGCTTGACAAACAAAATCTGTTATACGCATAACTGCTTCCATTAAATGCAAACCAAATACAAAATCAAAGCTCTTAACACTAGTGCAAGCACCATCAGCTTCAGTTCGAGCTTTGGGATTTGGACCATCACATGCAATACTCATAAGAACTGTACATGTTGCATTAAACATTTCTATCATACTCAAGATAGAATCATAATGAGAGCCCCACCGAGTAGTACCTGATCTTTGCAAGGATGTCATTTGATTTTTTCCTCGGCCTGAATCCCTCTCACCACGAGCTAACATACCAATGACTTCCAATCTATGTGCCTCGTGTAATTCTGTGTTTCACTTTGGTGAAGATTTTACAATGTTGATAACTTTATCCAACATTGAAAAAAATTTCCAAACTGGGTCACATTGTTTAGCTGAGGAAACTAGAGTCAACTGCAACCTGTGCGCAAAACAATGCACATAATATGCATATGGACAATCATTCAAAAATAATGCTTGTAATCCATTCCACTGTCCACGCATATTACTAGCACCGTCATATCCTTGACCTCGCAACTTGTGAACCTGAAGATTATACTCAGAAAGAACCGCACTTATTTCATGCTTAAGTGTTTCAGAAGAAGTGTTAGAAACACCTTTAATAGCAAAGAAACGTTCTGTCACAATACCTTCAATGTTCACAAATCTAAGAATAATAGCCATTTGTTCTCTATCAGATTCATATTTGCACTCATCTACAAGTATAGAAAAATACCTGTCCCCGATTTCCTCACGAATCATACGCCGAACACGATTAGCTAGAAGAGCTAAAAGTTCCTTTTGAATATCCGGGGAGGTATACTTGGCATTCTGTGGAGCATTACTCAAGACAATATCATTCACTTCAGTATTCCATTCTCCAGTATATTTAATCAATTCAATAACATTTTCACGATTGAGAGATGTTTCGGACTCATCATGACCCCTAAATGCACAACCTTTTAAAGCTAACCACAAAATACATTTAATGGTTGTCCTTACACGCAAACGATTTTTCACCACTTCTTCTTTACCGATCCTAGCAATGACTTTGTCAATATGTTGACTTGGTTTCATTAAGGAGTCAGCAGAAGTCACACTCTTATTATGAGGTGATGAAGGGGATGAACCAACATGCACAAGAAACACACAATCTTTACCCTGATGAACTCGTTTCCAACTATCAAAACCAGTAGTCACTAAAGCCGAAAGACAAGAGGAATGCACAACGTCACTGAAGAGAAAGCATGGAAAACAATATGCCTTATGCGTTGTTGGAGAGTATTCCAACCAATTAAATTCATTGAACCAAGTGGCTTGAAAACGACGCACCCTATCTTTGTAAACTCGGCCTTTGTAAAAGTTCAATTTTGGTTGATAAGGTCCAAGCATCAAATAAGATCGTCTAATTTCATCTCTTTTCTCTAACGGCCAATGACTTATCATTTTGCGTTTTCCTGGATCCCGCTCAATTTCAAGTGCATCTGAAACTACTTCCTCTTGAGCGGATGAGATATTAGGAGTTTCAATTGTGTCATTTAACTCTTGTCTACTTTGTGTGCTTGTACTCTGCTTATAAAAGGAACGCAATGTGATTTTTGCCTTTTTGGAAGTAGATTGAGTAGCCATACCTACTAAAATTACCAATAAATAAATAAAAAACTAATCAATACTTTATTTTAATTCATATTAATATTTTTAAAAATTCGCAAATCACATTTCACATTCGTAAATTTCTATTTCACAAATCACAATTCAAAGCACACAATTACACAAATCACAATTCAAAGCACACAATTAGTCAATTACACAAATCAATTGTAAATTTGTAACACAACAAGTCACTACTCACTAACACAAACTAATTTAACAAATAAAATGCTTAATTAATCTAAAAATTGTAAAAACATAAAAAATTAACTTACCTTGGCCGCAGGTGAGCAGAAGGCAGTGAGAAGAATCGAAGAACCAGAAGGCACCACTCCAGCACTGAGCACTCAAGAGAGAGGAAGACAACAGTGGGCGACGTACGGCGATTTGGCGGTGCTCAGGTGCTGGCTGAGCGACTGATTCGTTGAGGCGTACATCGGTGCGTCCGGACGTCCGGTTGAATAGCAACGACGATGGGCGTCATTAGCTTGGCCGCTTGGTTGCTTGCTGCGTTACTTTCCCTTCTTTACTTAGAGCTTGGACTCTTTTAATTGTACTGGGCCATAATGTTTGTCTACTGGGCCGGTTTAATTCTACACTTGGCCAGTTTCTAAAACAGATTAAATTTATATATATAATATAAAAAAAATTGCCCTGGGCCATGGCCCAGCCTGGGCACCCCCTCCCTCCGCCCCTGGGCGGCAGCACCGGCTCGCCCCCCTCTAGTTCCGCCACTGGTCGTCTGTGTCGCCCTCTACCTAGATGCTGCTTACTTCCATGTGTTGAATATAGGCAAGATGTGAAGATGATCGACGACCAGACCCCGCCGCGCCGTTAATTTAATTATACTATTCCCATCCGTCGTGAATGCAATGACCGGTCATGCAAAATACATGCGTCGTACATGTAGTGTAGTGTTCTTTCTTAGCTTTTTCGCTTCGTTTCTTCCTTTCTTTTTTAACCTCATTATTTAGGTTATCGAGGTGTTGAACAAGTCCGGTGTACTTTTTTAAAAGTTGCATGTTTTCCTGCATTGTTTTTGTCACTTTCTTTGGAGACTAATGCACGATAATTAAAGATGGTCAGTGGCGGATACTGAAAAAATTGTTATTGGGTCACACCAGGGCCGTCTAATGAATTTGGAGGCCCCGGTTCAAAATGTAAAATTGGGGCCCCACTTTAATATAAAATATAAAAGAAAAACTCAATTCAAATACTTATACTTAAATCAATTGAATACTTATTGAATAATGTAATAATTTTTTATCTAAAACTTACTTAATTCTTGATTTAAAGTAACACACCTCATTATTCAAGCAATTTGAGTAAATGAGAACTAAAGGACCAACGAAAAATGATGGATCTATATTTTTATTCATTACCAATTGTATTATACTGATTATTATTATTAATATATAATACTAATAATTTTTTAAAAATCTGGGCCCCATAAATCAGGAGGCCCTGTTCCGGATAACCTAATTACCCCCTAAAAAAAGGCCTTGGGGCACACTAACATGCATATACGTGTATATAGTTGTGGAGCTATTCTAAGGATAATTGGTGCAATTTTTTTCATGTGATCGAATGTGGAAGTCCTGGAAGAGGGTTGGGGCGGCAGAGTTCTGCATACTTTTTCTACACTATCTTTGTTTTTGTTTTTTATGTTTTATTATTATCAATGAAAAATTCTTATTAAGAGAAAAATGGGCAAATAAGCCCTCGAACTATTTGCGATTTTGCAATCAGACTCATGAACCGAAAGATTTTCAGTTACACCCCCTCAACTCTTTGAAAATTAAGCAATCAGATCCTTTTTACCTGTTGGTGCCGGTAATTTCTCATCTCCTTACCTGCACTAGCAGATAAAAAAAGATCTGATGGATTAATTTTCAATGAGTTGATGAATGTATTTGCAAGTCTTCCGGTTCAGGGTTCTGATTGCAGAATCGCAAATAGTTCGAGGCTTATTTGCCTCTTTTCTCTCTTATTAAAGAAGAGTTACTCTTGTTTTCAGAATTTAAAAAGGGATAAGCACAAAAAAAAGTATTTCTGATTGTTCGTGTTTTAAGATAGGGGCATGAGGTTCATTTTTCACAAAAGTGAGACATGTGCTTTTAATTTGAGGATTTACGTCTGAACTCTGTTGGAAACCCTTAAAGTGAAAGCAAATGACGACCCACTTTGTAAAAAATGAAACTCATGCTCCTATTTAAAAATGCGCACAACCACATATACCATTTTTTACTTATTCTTTAAAAAAATATACTTCTATTCTTACAATTTAATTTTTAATGACTTCTATTTTAGAAATTACTTCAAATATTAAATAGCACAAAAGTAACTATAAATTGCACACTTGTATCACCTAATAATTGCTTTTGTTCTTGAAGTGAGGGCATTTTTTTCTTGTTGGGGGCATTTGAATTTTCTTATTGGGGGCACACCCTGATTTTTCAATAAAATATACGTAGTAATAATTATCTATAACAATCTGCTTGGTTTGATAAGTATCCATGATTGGAGTATAGCATTTCAAAAGATGTTGCTTATTGCTTGTGGTGGCTATCTTTTCAAAAAATCAAATAAAGGAAACCGAGATGGAGAAGTTGCATTTACCGACAAGGGGGTAAATAATCGGGAAAAAGCACTAAATATATACAATACTCATGTTGGTGTGGTTGGTAGTGCTCACAATGATGTAAGAATACAACTTGAAGCTTTTCAAAATCAAAGACAAAACGTGTCGCATTTGATAAATGCACATGGTCGGGAAATAGAAGTGACATTTCGCATTCGTTTAAATGCAATTTTAGATGTCATATGATTTCTATTGAAGTAAGGTCTAGCATTTCATGGTCATGATGAGTCATCTAATTCTTTATATAAAGGTAATTTACTTGAATTACTAGAATGGTATAGTCACATAAATGAAGAGGTTGCTAAGACACTGAATGAAAATGTTCCCGTAAATAATCAAATGACATCTCCAAAAATTCAAAAGGAATTAACTAGTGCTTGTGCTTTTGAAGTCACACGTGGTATTCTTGAAGATATTGAGGATAATGTATTCATTCTTATTATGGTTGATGAATGTAGTGATGTTTCAGTTAAGGAGCAAATGGGAGTTGTTTTGAGATATATGGATAAACGTAGATAAGTGATTGAACGTTTCCTTGACATTGTGCATGTGACTGAGACTTCTACTATTTATTTGAGTAGTGCTATCGACGAGTTGTTTTCAAAGCATAAATTGTCTTTATCAAAACTGAGAGGTCAAGGATATAATGGTGCTTCAAATATGTGAGGTGAAGTACAATGGATTAAATGCTCTCATATTGAAGTAAAAATTACGCGTTTGGTGAAAAAGCTGACTGATAAGCCTGATAAGCCGAAAAAGGGGTCTCCAAACGGGCTCTGAGTTTGGAGTTAAAGTTTGAACAGTGAATTATATTTGCGTGTAATTTACTAATCTATGGAACTACAAGACTCGGTGGAAGAGTAGTCAACGTAATCGTTGACCGAGACAGTGAGGTCGCAACTGAGATGAAGCGCGCCGCTAGTGGCGGAGTTTTGCACCTGAACTTGAGCATCCACCGTAATGGACGCCATGACGGCATGTGACGTCTCTATCTCATTCTTGACGTGGCCGGCGTCTTCGATGCCTCCTTCAAGCTTCACGCCGTCTATTGCCCGGAGCTGGAAAGGGATGGGTGTGACGCTCGAGCTAGGCACGGTGATCGGAGCGTCGCCGCCGCCGGCTAATGAGGCGTTCGCGATGGCTTTGCCCGGGAGGTAGGTTACTCCTACTTCTGGGTAAACAAAAGAGAAACTGGCGCTTACGTTGGTGAAGCTAATGCTCTTGTCTTTGTAACGGTTGTGGACTGTGAGGTTGAAGCTCACGGTCGTCGCCGCCGCGACGCGGTTGTCGTCGCCCACGTCGAAGTTTCGCAGGACCGCATCCGCGACGGTGTAAGACGGGCGCCCCCGGTGGTGGGAATGTTTTCGTAAGACCGGAATGCTCACACCAATTGCTATACACGAAATCGTGAACACTACTCCCAAAACTATGTATAGGAAACGCTTTCCACGACGAGCTTCTTCTTCTGTCGTTTTAGTTCTCACCATTATATATTCTAATTCTAATCTATTATGCTAGAACCCAAGCTACAGATTGATAAATTTCGAAGTTGCGAGCTGAGGTTCTTGTTTCTATACGAAGTATATATAGGCAACTTCTATGGTGGTTTAATTATTTTATGTTTAATTAGTTAAACACAAATTAAATTTATCGGATATGCCTTCGAGAACATCGGATGAATTGAACATAAATGAAGGATAACAAGGAAAAAAATTAAAATGAAGGTTATTTATTTAAGATTTTCAAATGAAGGTAAAAAACTTGGTCAGGGTCCAATGAAAGAAGATGAGGTGCAAATGTGGGATTATTTTGGGATTATGTAAATGTAGGATTATTATGAGAAGACCAGTGAAAGGTGAGATTATTCTTGTCAATTTCTTAATTCAATTGAACGTTTTTTCAAAGTTCGAGGATTTGATTGATTATTTTAAAAGCATGATGACCTAATTGATGTTTTAGTGATAATAGATGACCAAATTGACAATTTTCTCAAAAAAATGATTTTTTAAAGTGATCTTAGAGAAAGTGTTTATGGTAAAAGTTAAAGTATTTCCGAAAAATATGTTTTTAGGAAACTAAAAGTAGGTAAAGTTTGGTAAAAAAAAATTGTTTTATGTGTAATAGGAAAAATGATAAGCACTTTGATAGCTTTTCGGAGTAGTTTTTGAGTCCTAATTTAAGCATATCCAAGCTGTCTCTAGTAAATAATTAACACTCCTTTATTATTTTTTTAAGTCCTAATTTAAACATTTTCTTAAATTTTTTCTCACAGTACATTACGCCGCATCCGTAAAATATGGAACAAAATTAAAACATATAATGATGCCTACAAAGTCAAAAAATTAGTCCTACGGATGAAAAGAAACAAGGGTTATTTATTTAAAAAAGAAAAATATTCCGAAACAATGGATCGGATTAATGCGCTGCCCTAATTGACCGGAATGTAGTATTCCCTCCGTCCCTTACAACTTTGTCAACCTGTTTTTTGTATGTTCCACTAATTTTTTTACTTTCCCTTTTAAGTAAAGAATTTGTGATTCCAGACTTCCAGTTAATTCTCACTCCTCTGCACAAACTCCAACCACACAATTTTTACTTTATTAATCTTCGCGCCGATCAAAGTTGACCAAGTTTTAAGGGACATAAGGAGTATCAATTAAATCACTAATAATAATGTCTCTTATTCTCCTAATACTCTGTAATAAATTTAATTACCACTACTATGTGAATATAAGTATATAAAACGCTGATTTAAAATTATATTTGTAGAAATAACACTCAGAGAGTTTAATTCGCTAGCCTCCTAGGGCAGCCGCCTCTAGACTTTTTTTCCCGAATTCGATCATATTGATCGAAGTTCGGCTGTTCTTGTTCGCATATCTGGCCGCGGAGCAATGGTCTGCTTTTGACTAAGGTAGAGCGATCACGAGTTTTTCTCTCTAGGGCTTTGACTATGTCGGCCGCTGGAGCCTTTTTCCGATTTCGACTTTATCAAAGATCGGCTTTGTTATCCCTTGGTCGCTGGTGCTCGATTGAAGTCCAGGTCAGACGCGGAGGGCGGAGATCGGTGGAGGAGGGTAGATTTGTTGTCATGGCTCGAGGAGATCGGCGCTGTGGTCAAGGTTCGAGGATGCGACGTTGCTGTCGTCGTTGGAGAAGATCGGCGCCGCCTGTCCGCTTACTCTGGTCGCAAGGAGCAGGGATGAGTTTGGTTATGCAGGGACGGAGGATTGATGCATGGTCTTTGGCAGCCAAAGGTCATGGAGGATCAATTAGCATGGTACCAGTGGTACGACCTCCTCCTGAACCACCACCATGGGATGCACAAGGTGCTAGAGTTCGTGAACGTTTTTCTTGTAGTTTTTATCTGTTTGTTATTTGTTTTCTTGCGTCCACTTTTGTTGTTGGGTTTGACAGTTTGTTTGAGTTTTTTGCCTCTCTATATGTCATTGGGTATGGTTGGATCTATGGGAATAGTTTTGGCTGTGTCAAGCCCACTACATGGTTAGCGATTCGTGTTGCTCTCTCAGGGGTGACCGTCTCAAAGTCTCACCATAGGGTTACAGTCGTAGTTGTTGGAGTTTCAGTTGGTGTCTGTTTTATTTTCCCTTTGCTTGATGTAATGATCCTGATGAATCTTTTGATATGAATAGAGACATGTTTTGATGATAAAAAAAATTATATTTGTAAAGCTAAGTATATGTGACGACTATATATGATTTATTTAAATATGATCAAATATGCAAACGCTATCTAACAAAGGAAATGGAAATTCTCATATGGTAAGGTGGAGGTGAGAAAATAGTAGTTTAGCCCTTTTTATTATCTGATCTTGACATGTTTACGGAGGTAAGGAAATGGAAAATTATGTGATCTTGACATGCACCCGGTCGGGTGGGCACTTGACCCGATCGGTTCCCTGCCCAAGGTGTTGAAAAAACACCTATAAATAGCACACTTCTCCTTCACTATTTTCCACTCCTTTTTCCATACTCTTAAGCTCAACTTAGAATAGTATTTCTTTTATATTTTTATAGCATGTTTAGTCTCCAAATGAGGAGCTAAACTTCCATTTCTTGGTGTTGCTCTTGAAGCTTGTTGATTATTAAAGTTGTGAGTTATTTTCTTAACTTCTTTCCTTGAATATTAATTCTTCCTTTAAAATATTATTTCTATATCAATGTTGGGGAGTGTTACTAAGATGACAATTAGTTAACATCTTGACATTAGTTATAGTAATAGTTATTTGTTCCTCTATGTTAATATTGGGGAGTGTTACTAAGATGACAATTAGTTAACATCTTGATATTAACTATAGTAGGATTCATCTTCTTTAATATTCTTCCTTGAGTATTAATTAATTCCTATTCATATTTCATATTAATATTTTGAACATTACTTAAAGGATCAACTAGTTTTGTTTCATATATTAATTATTACTAGAAATGATCAACGAACCGATGGTTAATCGTTGATGGTTTCACAAGTAAGTAACTTCGGTTTATTAATGCACGCTCGTGGTTAATAGACTTAAGAGGGATTAATTTTGTTGGTTAAACCGAACCGTTGTGTTGAGGTTATCAATCTCAATTGATTTCATCAAGGAGTTAAGAGATTAAATGCTACTATCAAGTCGGCATATGGCGTTGTTCTATACTTGATTAATAGTAATGTTTATTAATGAACGGTCGTTGTTAATTATAACTACCCTCGATGAATTGGATATACTTCTCGATTGAGTATTCGAGAGGAGATAAGTTATAGATATAACAATGATCGACTAAAATATATCAACAAGTGGAAAGTAGCAATGCCAAGTCCCTTTTATTCTTGAATTAAATCTCATATAAGTCATTCATCTTCGTGTTTAAATTAATTAAATCACTCAACCAAAACCCCCCTTTATTTACTAGTTACAAAAAAAAGAGAATTATTCCTTTCCCTGTGGATACGAACTCTACTACGCTATACTACGTATAAGTGTTAGGATGTTTTTACTTGGACTGTAATTTGTTGGTCTGGTCTGATCTGGTCTGATCTGGTCTGGTCTGAACTGGTCTGGTCTGGTCTGGTAAGGTCTGGTTTCTTTGTATTTTTATAACTATCCAAGTCTGGTCTGGTCTGGTCTGAACTGGTCTGGTCTGGTCTGGTCTGGACTGGTCTGGTCTGGTCTGGGGAAAATTACAGTCCAAGTAAAAACATCCTTAGTATTGAATTTATTTTAACGCACCGTGACAAAGTGCTCGTCATAAGGTTAAACAGTAACGAGTGAGCTAATTCAATAGGAAAAAGTTATAAAAAAAAAATCTACACTAAAACAATTTAGAAAAAAATAGGTTGCTCAATGCTTTAATTTAGTATAGTTACAGCGTTGATGTGTTGTTACATACTTGTCATTACAAACTAAGATCTATAATTATGATTCTTTTGTCATTTTGACACTGAAAGGAATAAACATCTATCCAGTATTGCGCATTTCTATGCTACCGGCACTTTCCTATGCCAGGAAAATCCATTATATGCCTCTTCTCACACTCTACTTTTCTCACCAAATAGGAGGGGTTGGAGGGCTTTTGATTTTTGACATAATAAAAACCTTCTTTAACCCCTACATTATATGAGGTGACGGAGGTTTCAAAAGATCTAGAACATATGATGTATAATTTTCTTGAGTGTTAATATATATTTACATTTAATCCAAAAAAATAGAGAGAATGACAAATAAGTGTATGTTTTGAACGAGTGTTTCAAAAAAGTGTAGATTCCATTTCTTGGACAAAAAAGTGTAAAACGGAGGCCATGAATCCGAATTTTGCCTTCTACTCTCTCTTACCATGTTGCTTTCGAACCTATGTTGCTTTATTGGCTAGATCTTCTTTCACTATTTGTTAAAACCTTTGCCCACTTATTTTAGGGATTTTTCGGTAAATATTAAGTACTTCTTTGATCTCATTAAAATTTTCTCTATCTTTTTTTGTTCCCTCTAACTAATTTTAAATCATACTAAATTTGATAAGTTTGTATGGTTCTAAATCAATTTTACTTTATTCTTACTTTATTAATTCAATATCAGCCACATAATTCTACTTTTTTAGATAACTGTGTCGCGTCCTCATATCCCGATTTAATATTAAGTGAAGTGAATTTTAAAAAATGTGACTACTTTAAATGTTGACAAAAATGTTATTAACAAGTCCATATATTTGCAAAAATAGGACGTCACTCTATGAGTTTTTTAATTTTTTTTATCTTCAACTAAAATAACAACCAAATTCATTTTCTCTGTACTACATATTTTTTTATGCAATTTTTTGTAATACCTTTTTCATATTCATACACTTTTTCCTATAGAATACTTCGTATATCTTATCTCTTTTATATATTTTTGTTTTTAAAATAATAATTTTTTATTACCATTTACATTTGATAAAATATGCGATTACATTTTCATAATTAAAAACATCCACTCTACTCGATAAAATAGACTATATGTCAAATAATTCATATTCACTTGGGAATTGGTTAGATTGATTTCTCTTTTGAGCTAGA